TTATTCAACATCCACTGTACAAACATCATTTATTGTTTGCATGTATTGCTTTTTGTACAGATGTATGTCTCCCTTGTGTAACCATGAAAATTTCTAGGTGATGAATCATGTCTGCAGTGAGGGAGAGTGTGAATGATTCCCTGCTGTTCCATCCAGAGAATTGCTGTTCATGTATTTCTCCTTCACATCCTCCAGACACTGCGACACATCAGCTTTTCTATTTGACTGTGCATGCATGGCGAAAGGGTCTGTGTGTGTGTAATTGCTCTAATCTGCCCAGTGTACAAGAAATTCATCTGTCCGTTTGTGCTTTACAATTCTTTACGTTTGTCGAATTGATTTCGTATGATGCAGACAATGCAGTCGTCACTGGTGTGAAAGTTGTCAACACACAGACAGGCGTCAACAGGAGGATTTAACAGAATCCAACATATTTCAAACTGATTAGTGGTTCAATAAACCAGAGCTGAACTCCAGCAAACTACTAAGTGTGGGATTGAACTTTAAAGCTCAGCTAAGACCCAGAAATGCTGAGGGAGTCAGAGAGGGAGAAGGCGGATCTGCTGAAGTTGGAAGTTTGCCTCTGGTGTCAAAGAGAGGGGATCAGATCTGCAATCCAGCTTCTGCATCACATCACACACACACACACAGAGAGAGAGAGAGAGACACAGCAATGTACCTGATTGGTGTTTTCAGACTAAAACATTCTCTGTTAATATGAGCATTACGGCTCTGTATTGTTTTAATCCTTGTTTATACTAACACACCTGAAAGAACATATCATGTGACCACGTAAAATGCAGAATTAAAATGCACAAAGCTGTTAGCAAAGAACACAGTTGTAATTGATTATCGTGTTGCATTCTACACCAGTAACTGAAACCAGTAGCGACCGTTGTTTTCTTCTGGAAGAGGGTCATGTGATACCCTGTGAGTCAGCGAAGGCTACGTCGTGACTGAAAAGATTCAACCAGCAAGCGGCTATACGTCTTTGTTTCCTAACATGCCTGCATCAGCCCCTCCGGACTAAAGTGTTCAAACTAAAGCCAACCACATTTCCAAACTTCTTCATTTATGCAACTCTAATACTCTGGAGTAGTGTGGATGACAGATGTGTCCACGGCAGAGTTGATGCGTAGTCCAATAAAAAATGTAGCGGTATGAATGTAGCCCAAGACACCCAAGCAAGACCAGCTTCCTATATACATCTGTGTGCAGCCCCTGAAGATTCCATGACCTGAGTGGAAGATGTATATCTGTGATGGATGGATGGACACACACAGTGGTCACAGGTTATAAGTTCTTAATTATCATAATATT